TCAGAGATCAAACACAGCGAACCAAATGAGGACTTTCCCTCATTGTAAGTACGGATATTGGTACATTTTACATGGATGATACTTGTAAAAAGGTATATCATCCTTACTGGATACTCATTTCATCCGAGTATTCAGCTCAACCCCACTCCATAGTGAACAACCTCTGCTTTCCAAAACCTTTAAAGCTCAGTAAATAACACATTATATCTCAATTGTTAAATTTGAACAAAAACTTAAAGGGAAATTTCGGTTTATTTCAACCTGTCTCCTATCGTCCTAAATTTGTTTCAAGTGACTAGTGACATAAAAATGATAGTTAGCATGTTAGCCGTTAGCCTAGATACAGCCGGGGCGCATAGTAGCGTCATACCTGTTCAAACGTAAGTGAACGGGCAACCTTCAAGTGCAAAGTTAGTCCACTAAACAAGCTTTTTTTCCACAAAGACCGCCTCATATCGTTAGGATAAATGTCAGAGAACATATAGAAAACGACTTGTTGTCTTACCTTACTGGTGTGCTGCCATGTTTGTTTACCATTTAGCTCTGCTTTCCAAAGCGCGGCCGAAATATATCTTGCTAGCTCTAGATAAAGCCCAGCTGGATACTTCTCCAGGTGGAGGTGTCTCGTCCTCGGTCACATCCAGACCTTGAAAATAATGCTGCAACCGGTCCCATTCCTTGCAACAGAGGCATTCCTCTTCTGTGGGCACTGGGGCACAGCATTCACAGGTACACCTCCAATCTCCAGAGCTACGCAGCCTTGCAGCAGCCATTCCTCCTCTCTCGTCCTCTACCTGTTGCGCCTCTCACTCTCTCCTCCACTGTTCTTCAATTTCACGAAGATAAAAAGATGTCATTTATAAGCTTTAGAGGACTTTGGAAAACCCTAAATAAATTTTAACATTAAGAACCTTTCCCACAGAACAAAAAAAAAAAAAAAACTCTAACACCCACTAACATCTGTTTTTTGTATTTAATGGGTGAGGCAACAACATTCATTGCCCGGACACTGGTATTTATCGGCTCAAGCTCAAATCGGCTCCAATTGGCAGTGATGGAACAACAACACCTGGGTGGACGGGCTAATCTTTGCCATTTATTTTGCAGCATGATGCAATGACGTGCCGCCACAAAATACCATCTGTCTCGGTCCAAGCAGCCCTCAAACTATATTTCAAAGTAAGTCTGCACAAAGTCACATGTTCATTGTGGTCCATGCTGCTTTCTACTGTTTACTAACCCTATTTTCTGGTGCGTTCTTGATGCTAAACGTGACACACTAGTGAGAAAACAAAACAAATTTAAAAAAAAAACAGAGAGGCATACTTGTCTATTAAAGAGTCGTGTACATGGGTCTGGCCTGCTGGCAATGGGAAAGCAGTTGATTGACTATTTACAGCATTTTCCTGCATTTAAAAAACCTGCAAACACTCGCTAAATTTGGTGGGGAAAGGGGCATTATTCACACATTTTATTAATTCATTTAATTCTTTTTAAAGCCTTGTAATTGTAAGTTTTGCCATGAAAATAGTCCAGCATCTAGGACATTGCTGAAGACTTGAGAAAACCATGTCCGAGTGACTTTATGGCATGAACACTATGTGCTACAAATTCTGGCAGAATTTGACTGATAGAGCATCTCTGCTGTCCAGTCGCCTTCTTCTTTTCTCCCAGTGGTCCATGTAGTGCAGCTGGATGTTCAGTAGGTGGGAGAATGAGCAGGCAACATCCCTTTTTATCTCTTCCCACACCGCAATAATTATACTGTCAGCCGTGAACGTCAGGCAACGCAGAGGGCGACACAATAAGAACAGTGGCAGAGGGGCGTTAAGGCCATCACTTGGCGTCAAGCCTGTAATTTTGCATCTTAAATGATCATGTAAGCGGAGCCAAGTTGTTCTGCAGTGGGACCATCTCCACCACTCCACTGATATGATGAAGCTTTGCAATAAGCAGGTGCTGACATGTTGCTTTTTTTGGGGCCCGAGGCGAGAGAATGAGACAACGGAGAACAGGAGATTTTCAGCCGTGATTGAGTCTGTCTGCCTGATGAAAAATGGATCTACTGTAGGAGGCACAACTGCCCGTTAATACCAGTCTCATCCATCGCAGGAAAACTCTGCGACAGTCTGCCTCTAAATATAATGAATGAGACTGACGTGGGAGCGATGGAGCTAAAATTTAAAATAAGCTGCTGTCTTGAAGTGATTAAGATCTGCAGATATTCCTGCAGGCAACACACACCACATCATTGTCTTATCTGGCCTGTCTAATGATATTTACACTGAAAACTATTACCAGAGCCGGGACTTGGAAGAGAATTTGATCAAAGTTGAACTCCAGTGAATGCTGACAATATTTGGGACATCTCTCTGATACTGAGTTGCAACACCTGTATCCACCATTCAGTCACTTAGAAGGTTACAAATCCTTCTGTAACACTAACAGTATATGTCTCCTTTCTCCTTTGGGTCTTGTGATTCAATAAGACAATAAGATATAGAGGCTTTTACTTCTTCTCAGTTTACTTTATAAAACAAAAAGCATATTAAATATGCATCAGTGCAGTGTATACACAAGGCTACAAAACACTATGCAGCTGTAGCAATGCACATTATAGTCCTTACTGTCAGTATGGGCTGAAACCTTAAAGCATGTTTCACCTGTAGACACAACCTGTGACGTCAGAGTCAACAGGTGAGCAAATACCTGGCATTTACCATGTCATCAGTGGCGCCCAAATTTCTGGCATTTAAAGATTTCTTGTCATCACTGACTATGGCCTTAGTGTGGACATGAGTTGTAAGTTGTTCAGCGTTGAGTTTTATGCCTCCACGCCGGCAACAGCTGTGGCCAGAGACATTATGTTGTCGGATTGTCAGTCCATTCTCTTGAACACGATATCTCAAGAACGCCTTGAGGGACTTTCAAATTTGGCCCAAACGTCTGCTTGGACTCAATGATGAACTGATTAAATTGTGGTGGTCAAAGTTCAATGTCACCTCTTGTCCAAATCATTCTCCTGAGTGCTATATCTCAGGAACACTTTGAAGGAAATTTTAAGTGCTGTATCGTAGGCAACTGAACTTGCTTGAGTTTCTTGAAAACGTGTCACCTCTCATCCAAGAGGCTTCTTCAGTTCTCTGTCTTGGATGAGAGGTGACACATTTTCAAGAAACTCAAGCAAGTCAAATTGCCTACGATATAGCACTTAAGATTGCCATGAACTGGATGACTAAGAATCTTCCGCAGCTCTTTGACAGTAATTCTTCAGCTTAAGCCCCATTTATGCTCCCTTTACGTACGAAAATGTATATGTCCGTTTCAAACGATGTTACCGTCACTGCCCACATACTTCCATTCGTCCTTTACGTTGGTATGGATGTTAACCAATATATCCAGCAGGGGGCAGCCCAGAGTCAAAAGTTTATGACAACAACAAACTCAAAAACAAACATGGCGACTGTGGAGGAGATATTGATAATGTACCTCTTGCATCAAAGACAAAAACAGAGGCAGCAATTTAGGAGGCGGTGGTCGATGAGGCTGTTAAATACATCGCGACTGGAGGACGGAGAATTCTTTTCTCTAGTACTAGTACTTTCTTCTTCGTGTCTCACTCGAGCTACGTATCGGGTAGTGACAGCAACACTGCCCCCACGGTTTCCGATCGTACTGCTCCGTTTGGCCCGTATCCGTAAGTTTTATAGAAACGTGCAGAAATGCAGATGAAATGAACGCGGAGCACGGGCAAAAGGTTCTGTCCGTATCCGGATCCGTATTTAACGTTGAGCATAAATGGGCCTTTAGGTGCAAACGTCCACCTGGACTCAACAATTAACTGGTTTGATTTTTACGGTCAAAGGTTACTGTGACCTCACAAAACACGTTTTCGTTCGTAAATCAAGAATTCATAAGCTACTTAGAACAAATGTACAAAAAATATCTCAACAAACTCATGAAATTTAGTATACAAAAGATCGAAGGTCAATTTCACTGTGTCAGCATAATGTTTTCCAGCTTTTTTCAGTGCCATAACTCAGACGCAGAAGGGGAGACATTTGGTCACTTGAAACTGTGCTGATTGTGTAGATCTTCTATGCTGTCAGGTTGAAGATGTGTTTGATGCATCCCATCCACGTTTTAGAATATTGTGCTTCTTTGCAGCAGCATCCATATTTAAAGCTGTGTCATGGCTCCATGAGTCTCTACAGACATGAATGTAAACTGCAACTTACTGGACATACTATCACAAGGCAGTAATACTAGTTCTTTCTAGAAAATTCAAGAAAAATATGAGGGAAATTAACAGGGAAAAATAACTGTTGTGAAACCCAAGTATATGAAGACCCCTCAAATTTTTATTGGGATGCCTTCAGGGGATACAAGCAAATATGTAACTGAAAAAACCCCAGTATAATAGGATACCATATTTATTATTTATGAACAGATCCAAGATATTTTCTGATAAGGCTTTAATGTCTTAAAATGCAAAGGGAAACAACTGGAGTTTGGAAGAAACAGCTTCACATACACCCACAGTCTATATTATATTATAATTTGATGGCAGGCTGGGCTCATAAAAGACCATTTAAAAGTAGTCTCTGTTCTGCTGATCTCCACCAGCTCCCTGACAGCTGGCTGTGTTCTACACATAATGATGGCGAGGCCACAAAAACTCCACTGTTGATGCTATTATGCAAAGGAGGTCTCTGGCACCATCTAGTGTCGGGTGAAATGCAAAAACTCCTGCTACATTTTACTTCTTCAACATCATGAGCGGCAACTTGCCCTTCCTTGCATGTCAACAGAAAGTTGAACTGCGGACGCTGAAAACAAACTGGCCTTGCCATGAGAGTGCACATTGGCTGGCGCTAAGCTGGAGATAATTAGAGATAACTACTGTGACCCTAATCTGCTTAATGACATTACGGCTGCTAAAACCTATTCCAACTGCAGTGTCACTGCCTTTGGCTCAGATGACCAAACAAACACAGAGACAACAACAAGATTGTTTTTCTGCTCTGCAAGAAGCAATTCAACTCCTACAGAAATAAAACAAATTCAAGCAGGAGATGTTTGCCAAATCTGTGAGTATCTGCATATCACTAACAAACACTTATCTACTTTCAGATGGTGTGTCATTAACAGACAAAGCTGGTGTTAGTTTGAGTGACATGTAGAGAAAGTGAAGGAACACAGTTGTCATTGTACAGTGTGTACAGAACTTATGAACTGCTTCATTGAGACATTGCAACCAAATATTCACTGTGCTTGCAATGCTTCATTTTGATAGGGAAATCCACAAAATGCGTCTTTAACCTCTCTATTTTTCTAATAGTAAATACTTACTAGCTGTATTCTTAACTCCTGTCAGAGGTAAGAGAACTTTGGGTGTTGCTGGTTTATATTACATGTTATGGAATCTTTAGTTTGGCATTACAGAAAGTGAAGATGCATGTGAAAATGTAATTGCATTCTCAGTCCCAGTGATGTTTTGGTTTCACTGCCTAACAAGGATTACTCTATAATTGGTTTATGTTGTAACTAATGGCTTAAGGAATGGTTAATAAATTGATTGCAAATGCTTTTTAAAACAGTAATAAGCAAAAGTCAAGGGTACTTTGCCTTTCGCCTGTGTCCAGCATAACTTGTCTTTTTAGCTAGTTCTTTAATTCATCACAAGCAGCTCTCCAATGGACTGTTCAACCACTTATTTACCCTCCAAAACACTGGTTCTCAAATTTCTTTGCTTATGACCCTGTAATCTAAAGTAATATCTCATTCTATCTCGCCACAGGCTGCACATATTTAGTTGTGAGCAGCTGAACTGAAGAGTAATTTCTAGTCATTTGTAGGCCCTACGTGGTAAAACTATAGTAGGAGAAAAAAAGTTTGTGGAAAACTTCGTAAAATAGAGATAATAAAATAAAAACTTCAGCTTGATCTTATCCCTACTCATCATATTTTGACGCTTAGACTGAAGCCCCTGGCCTCACTATAAAGACCCTGGGAGCAACCTTTTGTCTTGTATCTTGACGGGGAAGCTGTTTGGTTTAGACAACAAAACTTGGTTAGGAATATGAAAATATCGTGGTTGACATACTTGATTAAAGACTGATGTGACTAATGACTGATAAATGATGGCTAACAAGAGACTAACCAGTGGCGTGACAAAATAATTCACTGTTGACTTTTAGTTCAAACAAACAACGGTCTCCTGGGTCAAAGTCCTGTGCTTATTGGACCCATCCACTTAAGAGCATCTTTAGCATCACTTTCAGATGCTCAAGTGGGCATTGTGCTTCAAAATGTGACGCTGAGGGCCACTGCAACATTTCTGAAAGCCCTTGGGGTGAAACCAAGCTGACAATATAAACCCATGGGCATCATTTTTAGACATTTAGAGCAGCGGACACTCTCGCTTAGGGCAGGTGGTGGGTAGATGGGTCTGACAAGCACAGGACTTTGATCCAGGAGACCAGTTTTTGGTCCTGTGTGGGACTAAAAGTCAACAGTTATGGTATCATGTCAGTTGTTAGTCAGTCATTAATCAGTCATTAGTCATGTGAGTAAACTACATGACTAATGTAGTTTTGTTGCCTAAACCTAATGACTGACCCCCTGCATCAAAATACAATGCAAAAATCAGCCTCTGCCGTCATTATAGTGACGCTGAGAGGTTCTGCTCAAGAGTCAAAATATGACATGTAAGGTTGAGATCACATTGACACTAAAGTTTGCTGAAAGCCTGGTGCATCTCATACAGATGCTAAAGGCTGTGCGTCCACATCTGATGCTAAGGGCCACTCCCAAAGCAGTGATTTTTGTTGACCGTGGGATTGAGACCAGGCTGAAAACTTTGACTTTTCTTATTACCTACTTGGGCAATCGTCCTATGACCCAACCATCTCATGAGAATTTGTAGGTTGAGAACCATGAGAATTTGTAGGTTGAGAACCACTGTTTTAGAAAGAGCCACAAAGCATTTGGTCTAAAATAAATTTAACAATAACTGCAAACTGTGTTTGCAAACCTATGACCCTTCACTGATAACTTTCTTATTTTAAAAATAGTCCAAGTCTGCATTTTAGCTAAAGGACATGTCAGTACCCAGCACTGTAACCCTATATAATATATGCCTTTTAAGAAAGTGGTGGTCATCTTCCTAAGACTACTACACTTATTACTTTGGATAAGTACTTTTATGCTTTCCAGTATTGAGGTAACAAAAAAGCAGGCACAAACAGAGCCCACATGATCATTTCAGTGATACTGATATGTGTCTTTTGTTCAGGGGGCTCCCCAGCGAGAAGAAATGTTGACCATCCAAGTTAAAAATACCATGTTGCATCTGAATGGTCAAAACCTCAAACTGGCAGCTAAAAATGGCCGCAATTCCAAAACACCTGGCCTCCATCTGTCAGCGACACATGGAAAGGAGGCAGTGGGTCAGTTTACGGCCTGCTCGCCGACCCAGGAGGGCACAGCACAGTTGGACTTGTTGCTGCTGAAGTCACCCAGGCCTGACTCGGAGAGGGAGGCCGAGAATCAGAAAGTCAGGCGCCCTCTGAAGCTGGCCCCACTACAGCTGCCAGAGGAGGTGAAGGAAGCTCAGAAGCAAAAACTTAAGCTTATCCAGCAGGAAGTCAAACCTGCTTCCTGTAAGCTGGATGTGATGGTGAATGAGCCCCCTACAAGGAAAGTGAAATCCTGTGTGAGACAGAGACCGGTAAAAGCTTCAGTGTGTCCTTCTGCTTCCACTGAGCCACTAAAAGCCCAACAGCAAAACACATCTTCCAGGCCCCAGCTGACACGCTCCATCAACACAGAGCAGAATGGAGACAGGCATCTGGAGGATGTGGTTTGTCGAGTTACCCCAGCTCCTCTGCGCAGCAAGCCTGCCCCTCCTTTACTTTATCCCCAACTTAAAGCTCAGGCCACACGTGGTGCAGTGGTGGCACGCCAAAACCCCAGCACCCTCCAGCAAGAGGCAGGGAGGAGGCGGCTGAGGCTGAGGAAAGCACAATGCCTAGAAGAGGATCACTGCAATTCGGACACGTCAACAGGGGGATTATCTGCAGATAAAGGCAAGCTGGCCCAAGGTTGACAAGGCAAAGGGCAGCGAGAAGAGAGGGCTTCGAGAGTCCTGCCGCATGCTGGAAAAGGCTTCAAAGAGCCTCCTGCAGCCTCCTGGGAGCGTGGAAGTGTCAGGAAAAGCCATCAAGAAGATTGCAGTCAGCAATCTGCAAGATGCACTCTGAATCGACAGGCGGCTGAAGGTGGCAGCGGTGAACATGCACTCAACGGTGTGAAGCCAAGTGCTTCTAACTGGAGATTAAAGAGGAAAAAACCCTTGATCACAGAGCATAACAATGCAGTCCTTCTGGAGCGTCTCCAACTGTAATTAAATTTGATCTTTCACTTGTGCAGCTTGGGACTTTGTGAAATAATGTCAATCTTTGAGAGATGCACTTGTGTCATGAGGAGGCCCAGCAGAAACAGGCTTAAATCTCAGTTTGGAAGCTGATTTAAAGTCAGCTAACAAGTGATGTGACGAATACATGAACTAAATAATGTAATTTACTTAGCAGGTGAAAAAACACATAGAAATCAGAATATGCTTTCTAAAGCTGTGCCATTAAAAACTGCTTTTACACACTTTGACAACGTGAGCAAAAAAAGTTTATTTTAGAACTTTACTCTCAAGAGTTTCATTGAAAAAGTTCAGTCTGTTATGTTGAGATAAAATACTTGCACTAGATTATTAAATGAAATGGCTCAAAGAGTGCATTGTCCCCAACTCCCTGAGGGAAACAGCAGCGTAGCAGAGGTGTGTTTCACTAACATACTGCTGGCACAAAGCCAGACCAATCTCAAGTTCATTAATGGTCTGGTTGGCTCTCTTTGTGCTCCCAAAATAGAAAATAAATAAAAAAATGAGCAACATTTCATAAAAGTGTATGCCAGTTTGCTCTAAGTTATGGATTGTCCCATTTCCAAAAGCAATTCCCCAGATCAAGTATGCGCCGATTCAATTAGGTGGAGCGGGCACGGCACAAAGCAAGGCTCCTGGCACATCACAGGGAGAGTTAAATCACTATAGATGATGCGAGATAATGAAACAGCACAGAAAGTACTCAGACGAAAAAGTAAGTTATTTAACGGATAAGATACTGATTGACCAGCAGTCAGTGAACATCCTTACTTTTATCAGTTGAATCCCGCATATATTAATCAATACTATGATGTACACGTATTCATGATATACACATAACCCAATATAACAACAGATTTTCACGCCAAAACTTATCAAATACGCCAGCTGTGTCAGAGGCCCTCCATTTCCATCTATACAATCCGGTCTCACGCCAAAGTTGTCGAAATCCAGTGCTTGGGCAGTAACTTACGGCGTCAGACAATGATGAAAAAAGCTGCCCTCTGATATCGGCATTATCCACAGCAGGTCGCTGTTACAGTTTAATGGTGCTTGGTGGCATCAGGGGGAAACATTGTGGGACAAGAACAAAAGTTAAGGTAGCAAGAGTCCGAGTAGGGCAGGTTGGATTGGTAGTGGATGGGTCAAACAAACACAGACTTTCACCTGGGAGAGCAGTGTTCACGTCCTGTAAGATTGTAAAGCCAAACCCTGTTCTATTTTCCTTAACCTAACCATGTGTGTTTGTTGTTGAAGGAAAAAAAAAAACGTCAATTCGTGTTGTTGTACTGACATAGTGCGTTTATTTCGAAGAGACTGTATGTAAACGTTAAATTTCCTGTGAAAACAGAAGTGTATTTTGAAAGACGACAATTCATCAAACAGGCAGAACTTGACACTGCGCCCCAGAACGTCATCAATTAACGCACCCAGGGTACATTTCATGTTTGTATCTGGATGTGGAAGGTCCACAACCAAACGACGATATGTGACGAGGTCGGAGTGAGAATATGTTGATCTATAATGCTTTAGTTACCCCTCTAGCAACAAATTTGAAAGCCTAAAGACAACCTGTCAATTTCTGCTTGTTACATGCATGGTGTGTCAAAATAAACTTCTGTGTTAACAGTAAATTTGGGTTTCGTCACCAAAAGTACCATAGGTTTAGGCAACAAAACTACTTGGTTAGGTCCACAGAAAAGATTATGGTTAAGGTCAAAATAAGTTTGGCTGTTGCGTAACTAAACTTATGTGTTAACACGTATGTCACATGATGTTAACTACATGACACCATTTTTAAAAACTTGATTTAAAAATGCTTTACATGGGACATGAACACCAGTCTTCTGGGTGAAAATCCCGTGTTTGTTGACCTTTTTACTCTTTATACTATGTCATTGTTGCAAATGGTCTTATCAGCCCCCGGGATGTTGCAATATATTCTGCATGACCTTGCAATTTTGTCCAATCACTGCAACTTTTCTGCGAATTTGACCAATCTCTGTAGCTTCCTCTGAGTCTCACCAATCACGGAAGTCGCCTGCATAACCTTAGCACACACAGAAAGGCCCTTGAAATCCTGGAGAAATTGACATAACGGGTGCTTTATGTGTCAGAATCATACGCAGACGGCCACTGACCAAGCTGCCATATTTGACGCCCTGAGAATAAAAAGAAGATGCATGTAACCATTTAATAATAAAAGATTTTACAAAAGTGTTCACATCTCTTAAGGAGTCTATATGTAATGTCATGTTTAAAATATGACTTACATATGTGTTAGTAGTGGCTGCTGATGTTTTTGCTTTTAAAAGAGCAGGAGCTGTCTTGTTGTTTGATTACCCTCCTCCCCTCCTCCCACACACAACGCTCTGCATTCTGGAGGATCTGGCTGACGCTCAAAATCCCCCCTGAATGATGCTTTATGTGACCTTTGGTCATCAGCCAGACGGGTGACATTAGCCATAAAACATGGCCTAAAATAGGTCCTTACCACCTCACTGTCTGTAAATGCACTGCCTGGTTCAACCATCAATTTATCTTTGTCTATGAATGTTTGTCCTAAACAAATAAGACCGTGACCAAGACTCTACAATATGTGTAAGATTATATTTCTATCACCCCTGCTTCGTATCTTTTCTTCTTTGGTCTCTACACTACTAAACTTTAGTGAAGAGGATGAACATGAGTTTCCCATTGTCTTTCACTCAGAGACATCAGACCAGACCACAGACTCTGCACCTGCAAGGTGCTACAGAGCCAAAATTGCAAAGATATAGCCTCCGTTCCACTGAGCTTTGGCTCTCAGCTCAGTGTTTAGAGGCTGTTCTTCATCTATCTGTCTTAGTTAGAGGAAAATGCCACTGAAAATTTGGCATATCAAATTTCACCCTGCGTGGACTTGAAAGGTGGCTTTGAAAAGATTGTATTTCACTCAGTCACAGAGATGGCAACTGTAGTCAGCTTAAACTCAGCTTGAAAACAGCTACAGTGGATTCCAGTGATGACCCAGGGTCAAGGGTAAAAACAAAAAATGAAAACTGGCTGTGATGAGATAACACTTTAGAAGTGCAGCAGTTGAATGATAACCTAATAAATACTGTTATATAGTATGTCAAAGCAGCAATAATTGATTTTCTGACCACTTGGGGGCAGCAAAACAAGCTGTAAGCTAAAAAATGACATATTTTCACCTTACAAAATGGACATGACTAACATGTTGGCAAACAGTTGCCTATTCACACACCCAGCAGATACAGAGCACTTTTCACATTCATTTGGAGTCATGTTTCTGTCCACCTGACAATGTGAGTCCAATATTCAATCTATTTTGGACTCTATCAACTTCTGAAGGCAAGATCTGGCTCTTAAGATGTTAGTTGCATCACTATCTTTACCAGCTATTCTCTAACTTTGACTGGCTGCTGTTTAGTGCTTAGCAGATAGTTTACTCTGGCTTTGTTGCATTCATCTTTTTCACTGAAAACAGCTGCCTGCTGCGGCTGAAAACGAGGCTGATGAGAGCACTGAGACTGAACCTAAACATTACAGTTGTAAAACAAAAAACAATGAGCTGAAAGAAGCTAAAATGCTCGGTAAAGCTGAGGGGAACGGAGGAGTCGGTGAAAATTCTCTGAGAATTTGTCACTACTAGCGAAACCTTTCACATACAAAGAGTTCATTCATTTTCCCTAACTGCTTATCTTGTTGGGGGTCGCGGGGGGCTGGAGCCTATCCCAGCTGACATTGGGCTAGAGGTGGGGTCGCCAGACTATCGCAGGGCTGACACATAGAGACAGCCATCACCAGAGTGTCACCAATTAACCTGCATGTCTTTAGATTGTGGGAGGAAGCTGGAGCACCATGAGGAAACCCACGCTGACACGGGGAGAGCATGTAAGCTCCACACAGAAGGGCTCCCCCACCCTGTATTCAAACCGGAAACTGTCTTGCTGTGAGGCAACAGTGCTAACCACTACACCACCGTACCATCTGCCAATTTAGCACTGCCCCCTATCGCCAGACTTACAATGGAAAACTGAGAAAAACATGCAGAACTTCCATGTGTTCTTTCTCCTTGTCAAAACCTAGCCACACAATAGTGTGGTTGATGACTCGTGTGTTATGCTCTCAGTTGCTAATGTAGCCTCCAGAAATGAAGAGCGGGCTATAGAGGTCTATTTTGGTCACTCTAACTCCACGGCCTCAGATTTTTTTCATTTTCAAACTTATAGTCTCCAGCTCTTGAGGCACTGGGGCAGATTTCACACAGTTCCCCCTCCGGAGACACATTCAGGAGTGCTCCATGACACCTGTAAACACGTCTTTATGAGTAACATCAGTGCAGTTCCACTTTGAGCTGCCACAAACGTAAGGGGAAGGATATACGGATATTAGATGGTTTCGTACTGAAAACCCTACAAGGTTAAACATCTGGTCCACTATATTTGTCATCTATGCCGTTACATAGCTATCACCAGTGACTCAGGTGATGTTTCCTCCAAGATAACAGGTGCAGGGGAGCATGGCCTACAGGGAAGAGAAATGTTTGGGGTGGTGTTTGTGAAGGGAAAAAGCAAATGTCTCATTATTATAGTTGCACCTCGTCAACCTGAAGTAAACAAGGAAGTCAGTATAATCTGAGGGCCATAATTATTGGGTAGAGGACTTGAAATCAAGCCAAGATGTGATTACTATTTCCCAACACGTCCACTGAGTTCAATTCTTTTTTGTTTGTTTGTTTTGCAATGCATTGCTTTGCTGATTTGTATTTTTGCATTTTGAAAGGGTGACATATATTTGATGTTTGTTATTTGGACATTTTGGGGAAAATTTGTTGTGGTCTCATCAAGGAGGACTTTTTAAGTTGAACAAACACTCAAGAGGACACTTCAATTACTTTTCTGTAAACTTATTTGTTTTTTGAATAAACTGTGTCAAAGCGTGTATTTACATTTCCATTCAGTGCAAACTTTTGTTGTTGTCAGGAGGGTTTTAATGACAACCCAGATTCTTTGAATTTTTTACCGTTAAGCAGGTTGTATCATCAAAGGAACTGTGTCATTATAAATGTAACGAGGTGTCAAAGTTAAGCTTACCTGTGTGATTTGATCCGCTGTTAAAGTAAAATGATTTAGACTTTAATTTCTTTGAATTTGCCTTTAGAAAACCTTTTCAGACTCCACTGGGAGAACAGCGCCCTCTTGCTTTGTTGTGCTGTAAAGCAGTG